TTTGTAGACATTCTCTAAAGATTAAAGAGTAATAATGCAGTACTTAACGGAAATAATCTATAGATTTGATTGGCTGTTATTGCATCATGCACTTAGAGAATATTTTTACATATAAGGGCCAACAAATGTCATGCACATAGTATGAAAAATTCACAAAGAATGCAGACGCAAAAACTTGCAGAGCCAATCAAATTGCAAGAATTCGTCCGCAGATTATTCTTGAATCAACTAAGGTCTGGGTGACGTCAATTTGCAGTTCCTTCATTTTTATTTTGTAAGAAGCAATGAACAGTGAACAAAAATGCACGGCCTGTGGAAATCCCGCGAGATTGCGATGTCCTACTTGCTTGAAGAATAGCATTCCAGGTTCTTACTTCTGTACACAAGAATGCTTTAAAAAGAACTGGGTAAGCTGTTATTCGCGCTAGCAACGTTCGGAGACTAATTTGTTTAACTGTGTCCTTTTTCAATCGTTAGACCACCCATAAGCTCGGTCACAAAAAAGGTATGTTTTTAGTGGTTAGTACGATACAGAATTAAAGACTTGACAATTGATCTTATTTAGTTTGCTTCATTCATAACTGGTTGATTGCTGTGGGTCGCAATCGGCTAATAAAACACTTAATTTTTGTTTTTTGGCTTCTACTTTTAAGACGGTATTGACCGTTCTCCTGTAGGAACTACATATATTCCGAAATATAATTACACCGGTTCGTTGCGAGCGGTCTACCCTTTGTCACCTCGAAGACCAGTGCCACCGCACATAATAAGACCGGATTATGGCGACGATCCCACAGGTTGAGAAATTGTATCATAAAGAACTCAATATTTTGAAGTTGACAAGAGTAACGCAGAGCAGTTGAAGCTCCATTTGCTCACGGCCTACGCGAAATGTTTCTTGAATCAGGCCAACCGAAATCTGAGCAAAGCGTCCGTAACAGCACCACAATAAAAGTTTTGAACGAAGAAGAAATTGAGAGCATGCGAACCGTTTGCAAGGTTAGCCACCCCATTTTGATTTTTTTTTAATCCGCAAATTTCATTCTTAGTTCGTAACAGTAACGACTTTCCAAATGAATACTGCGCGCGAATAGCTTGCTCGCGAAGTATTAGATATTACAGCAGCGGCCATAAAACCTGGTATAACTACCGACGAGTTAGATCGAATAGTTCATGAAGCTACGATAGAACGCGATTCTTATCCATCTCCGTTAAATTATTATGGGTTTCCGAAATCAGTCTGCACGTAAATGTCGGCTCTTAAGTCATTTCGATATATTGCCAAGTAGTCGTCTCCTAACCTTTTTTGGCGGTTCTCTCACGGAATTTAGTTCGGTGAATGAAGGTAAGTTTGAAGCGTGTGGTTTCCTAACTGCCGACCAACGTTTCGTTGAACCAGTTTCATTTTTCATTAGTTATCTGTCACGGAATACCCGATCAGCGCGAACTTCAAGATGGAGATATCGTCAACGTGGATGTCACGCTATATCATAATGGTTTTCATGGTGATCTTAACGAAATCTATCCAGTTGGAAACATAGACGAAGATAGCAAGAGGTTGTTGCGAACGGCAAAGGAATGTCTGGACAAGGCAATAGAAAATGGTAATTAAACATGTCGATTTTAACTTGACATTCTTGTCAGTAATTGTCTAACGGGTCTTCATGATTAACATAATTATAATTTGATTAATTGCATGCCAGAAAACGAACTGAATTATACTATCTCTTGGCTTGGTCAATTACCTTTGTTTGTTCTTACGCAAACATACTAGCGAAAATGTTCAGAAAAGAAGGATTTGTTTTGCTTCAAATAATTAATGTATCGACGAGATCATACATTAAAATATTCCTTGGGTTAAATCTTTATTGTAATAAG